CCCACCTAGTGAATTTGAAGCCGAGGTAGCCACAGATCCTACGCTACAAGTATATAGGGATAAGATAGCCACAGGGGTGGCAGGGACAGACAGGGAGAGATTCATATGGGAGGGTAAGCTCTTATATAGAGAGACCGAGAAAAAGGTAGACGGAACAGACCCAGTTATTATGCCTCAGTTAGTGGTACCACAGAGGTACCGATCCGAATTACACCGGATAGCGCATGATATACCGCTATCCGGACACCTGGGAGTTAGTCGCACCTGGTATCGATTGACCCAGAGTTTCTTCTGGCCAGGGATAAGTCAGGAGGCCCGGAGGTATTGCGGTACCTGCGATACCTGCCAGAGGGTAGGAAAAAGGGGAGACTGCAGGAAAGCCAAGTTGCAGCCCCTACCCATAGTGGAGGAGCCATTTAGCCGCGTAGCGGTGGACATAGTAGGTCCCTTAAGGAAGGCTAGCCCCTTGGGCAAGAAATACATATTAACAGTGGTAGACTATGCTACCAGTTATCCCAAGCCTTAACTAACATTCATGCAGGAACGGTGGCTGAGGCCCTCATGAAGATTTTCTCCCGGGTAGGATTACCCCGTGAGATCCTCTCCGATCAGGGCACCCAGTTTACTGCGAAGGTCACACAGCAGCTATGGAAATTTTGTGACATGAGGCCAGTAATCAGTGCCCCATATCACCCACAGATACCCATCGGCACTGGGAAAGATTCCTACCACACCTCCTCTTTGCTTATCGAGAGGTACCGCAGGAATCCACGGGGTTCTCCCCGTTTGAATTATTATATGGGAGACGGGTCAGAGGTCCCCTGGATCTCATTAAGGAGCACTGGGAGGGAGAACACAGCTCCACAGGTACTCATATCATACCTTATGTACTGGCATTTCGGAACCGACTGGAGGAACTAACCCGAGCAGTACGAGAGAACCTCCAGGCGGCGCAGACACGTCAGCGTACATGGTATGATCGGAACGCCAGGGACCGTAGCTTTCAGGTAGGACAGAAAGTTATAATTTTAAAACCTGTCTGGCATTACAAGCTACAGGCGGCCTGGCAGGGCCCTTATAAGGTGTTGGAGCAGCGCTGCGAAACCACCTATATAATTGGCCCCTGTATGGCTCAGGGGGGCGATGCATGATTCATGTGAACATGCTGAAACCCTACCGGGAGCGCTCCGACAAGGTGACAGCCATTTGTGCACTCCCCTCTGAAGAGTTTGACAACCTTCCCCTTCCAGACCTGCTAGAGGACAGGAAATCAGGTAGCGACTTGCCGAGGTTAAGCTGGTGGAGCGGCTGAGTCCTCAGGAGCGTAGTGAGGTACAACAGTTGCTGAGGGAAAAACAAGACTCCTTCTCTAATGTACCAGGTTACACGCCCCTGGCAACTCACTGCGTAGCAACCCCAGGCCAGTTACCTATGCGCCAAACCCCATACCGCATACCAGAGGCGGTGCGGGAACACATGCGCCAGGAGATCAATGAGATGCTCCAACTGGCAGTCATTGAGCCTTCTGACAGCCCTTGGGCTTCTCCGGTAGTCCTGGTACCGAAACGGGATGGCACCACCCGTTTCTGCGTGGACTACCGGAGATTAACTGACGCCTATCCTATGCCCAGGATAGACGAATTGCTGGACCGGATAGCTAGGGGCCAATACCTCACTACAATTGATGTTTGTAAGGGGTATTGGCAGATTCCTTTAGCCCCAGATGCTATCCCTAAGTCGGCGTTCGTCACACCATTCGGCTTGTACCAATTTAAGGTAATGCCGTTTGGGATGAAGACGGTGGACCATCTCCTAGATGGGTTCCAGGACTATACCTGTGCTTATCTTGATGATATTGCCATCTTCAGCAATACCTGGCAGGAGCACCTAACCCATATAGGGTCGGTTATAGACAGGATCAGGGAGGCAGGGTTAACGTTAAAGCCAGCCAAGTGCAGTATTGGGATGGCTGAGGTTCAGTACCTCGGTCACCGAGTAGGTTGCGGAATGCAGAAGCCAGAACCCGCTAAGGTAGAGGCCGTAGCTCAGTGGCCAACCCCTAGTACCAAAACTCAGGTGTTAGCCTTTTTAGGGATGGCAGGGTATTATAGGAAGTTTGTGCCCAATTATAGCGCCCTGGCCAAACCCCTTACCGACCTTACCCGTAAAAACCTTCCCCGTCAGATCACCTGGACCCCGGAGTCAACAGCTGAAGAATGCACTTGTAAATGCTCCCGTCTTGGCAGCCCCTGATCCAACTAAACGTTTTCTTGTCCACACAGACGCTTCTGTGTTTGGACTGGGGGCAGTACTGAGCCAAGTCGGGGCCGATGGTGGAGAACATCCCGTGGCTTACATCAGTAGAAAATTGTTACCAAGAGAAGTAAGCTACGCCGCCATCGAAAAGGAATGCCTGGCTGTGGTGTGGGCCCTGAAGAAATTACAACCGTACTTGTATGGACAGCCATTTTCGTTGCTCACGGATCACAACCCATTAGTATGGTTGAACCGGGTGGCTGGGGACAATGCCAGGCTGCTGCGCTGGAGTTTGGCGCTGCAGCCCTTTGACTTTAACATTCACTAACGCCCGGGCAAACAGAATGGAAACGCTGATGGGTTGTCAAGACAGATTGAATTGGAAAAATGATTCGTGAGCATCCCCGGTGTAACGGATCGCCTGGCACCCCGACTGGGTACCTCCGTTGAAGGATGCTCCTAGCGCTTCCTGAGGACTCCAAGCACTGCAGCAGACACCACAACCACCGAACTGGAGAAGCATATGAATCCTCTCAAGCATATGAATGCTGTAGACAGTTGAATAGGAACCATACGAATAGGTTTACTCTCCTAGCAGTCAAACTGGAACAGCATACAATAAATCCTTCCCCCAATAATGAGACGACACTTCACTTTGAGGGTTAAAACAGGAACTCCCTGTACTGTCACATACAGTCTCTTTTATTCCCAATCCACAAACATAGTACAGCCCACAGGGTGTTACAAAACAACCAATCAATCCGTACGATACACCCAGACACTCCCACACAAAATCCTCCCCTCTGCAGGTGATATGATTACTGAACACAATGGGTAATCTCATTATCACCGGCAGAGGAATACAGTTTTTACACAGTATTTATAACTTCTAAAATATACATGTCACAAACATAAAACATACATTTTCATAATCAATCCATTCAGGGGAACAACATATAAAAAAATGGCACGAATCAGACCAGGGGTTCAAAAGTTAAGGGAAAGTCCTTTGTGACTAAATGAAGCATGGCTTTCTGGCCCAAACCAGTTTCAGAGTCTTCTATCCTGGAGAGTAATTCAATTATCTCCCAGGATAGACACAAGACTCCATTAAGCACATGGTTGCAAAAAGACACAAAACACTTTAAAATACATAAAGTCACATTTACACATAACACACAGACATTTCACATATCCCCAGATAGCTGGGATCTGAGTGCACATTATTAGATGAATGGCACTCAGATCACACAAATAAGCCTTTCTGCAGGGCCATAGTCCAAAGGGAGCAGGCGAGCAACCAGGCTTCTCCAGTTCACAGTGGCGAGGTTGGTTTCGCCACACCCGGACATCCCCAAGTCGATCCGTAATAGATCTGACTGTGTATGCCGGCTTGTGGGCAAGGGGGAGCAGTGTAGCAGAACCCCTTTTTGGCTGTCCTATTTCTTTTATTGATTGTTGGCCCTGCAGAGATTTTCCTGTGCCTGGAGTACACAAAAACTAAGTAACTAGGTATGGACATACTTTGTTCGGTATGGGAATACCAGCTTACATGTGAACGGCTAAAATTCACCATACGAACAAAGTACCGAATGATCCGGACCACCCTGATTGCTTTTCATTCCCTTGTATGCACAAACCGCCGCCATTTCGGCAGCCGAACACGTGGCGGTCGCCATTTTAAATCCGCGAACAGCGGTGTTTGGTCGTCGAGTGTCTGGAACTGAAAATGGACACTCGACTAGCCAAACACCGCTAAGGCCTCCAGGGCTTCAGAATGCACAGATGGAAACCCACGAACGGCCTGGCATTCGGTAGGATGAATCCCATGAACTAGGGGATTAATCCGGTTACCGAATGCACTATGGATGTTATAGCAATTCGGGACTTTTGGGGCATGAATGGAGACCGACCGCAGGGCCAGATTTCATGGAACTATTTTCAGCTACTTTGGCCATGCGGTCGCTCAAAACTTTACCTTCCCATAACTCCCGTACCCCTGGTCTGATCTGGGTGATTTTTGGATATGTTTCTCACCCAGATCAGGGCTACCAGGGGTACCATATTTAAGGGCATATTCCACCTATTTGGGGTACATCTGAAAAGTGGGGAAAATGTGCTGTGTATAATTGTATTAAGTGCTAATCTAAGGGGAGGAGATGTGTGGGAGGTAACGTCGATGGGATTGGATAATGTACTAATTGTGGTGAATCCCTCCCTTGCATGGGAGAATCTGATAAAAGCAGGAATGTTGCCATTAAAAGTTAGTTCTACTCCTGATACTGTGTGTCGTCCAGTGATTGGGGAAAGTGATGGGATATTATTGGATTGTATTGCTGATTATGCTGGATATTCTCTTAGATTTCTTACTTGTTCCTGCATCCTCTTAAAGTACTTGGTGGAGTTTAGCTGTGGGAAATCAGCTCTCCATTACAGATGCCATCCTTCTGCCATCCGATATTGCAATTGTTAAATGTCAGGCACACACAAATGGTAGCAACCCCGTTTCTCGGGGAAATGCTTTAGCGGACAGGGAAGCAGTAATCATTGCTAGAGAAGGCTCAGCTCTCCTACACCCTTCATATCCCAGAGACCCAGACTGAGAAACATGGTCATGATTCCTTCATTTGTGGGTAATGCTGATCTACAGATGGCACAGGAACAGGCTAATCCCTCTGATATCTTGTTTTGGGAATATAAATGTCTGACCAAGGACCCTAATGAGCTATGGTCAGACAAGGAGGGGAGGATAGGGGTACAAAAAGCAACAGCACCCCTGTTCATACTGCACTTTCACGTATTTGGACATAAGGGTGAAGAAATGACATATCAGGAGTTTGTAGCGGAGAGGTAGTATAATCCACAGTATCTCCACTGGGTAACAGGAACAGCATAAAATAATCCAAGGAAATAAATACAGCATACAATAATCCTTGTAGCATTATAAGAATCCTTCCTTCCCAAGAACTAGATGACACATAGACTGGGAGTCAACTGAGCTTTTAATCACTGGTCACTGTATTTATGGGATTCCCCATGCAAGGGGTTTCCCTACTGACATTCCAGGGGTGGTACAGTAGGGGACTACATGGGGAACTGACCAACACATACATTTCTCCCATCATGCACTGCTGCACGAGAGGGATACTCTCATTAGAATATACAGTTAATCCCTCCGTGCAGCAGAACTTACATTTTACATTAAAATACATAACTTCCATTATTATTCACTTTATTTACACGAATGGACGTTCAGTAGATAGCTGGAGTCTGAGCGCACAGTTCGTGAGAATACCACTCAGCTCCCAGTCTAACTAACCGAACGCCGCACGAAATACACATTATTTCTAAAACACTGTTAAAATACCGATTGGTATTAGGGGAACAAACTACCGAACGCCCGGGGCTCCCGAACGGCCTGGACGTCCAGCGGTGTTCGCGCCGTTGAGTAGCCGATTTTAGTTCCAGGCGCTCAACGGCAAAACACCGCTGGGCTAACAAAGGAACCAAGATGGCCGACCTCCGCGTGGTCGGTAGCCGAACGACGGCCACCTAGGGAAGCCTTTAACGACCTAATGGGTTAAAGGGCACCACACGACCTCTTGTGTGTGGTCATCCATTCGGTAGTTTATTCGTTTCACGAACAGTGTTGGAACTCACTGTTCGTGAAACTACATTAGGAATGCTGAGGTTTTTTATACCGCCAGCATACAAATGCCCTCATTAGCCTGAAATAAACATACAGCAATACACTTGGTTCTCACAGATGAAACAGGGATAGGCACATATTCTTATAGTTATAGTCTTAAGTGGCTAGTTTTGACACAGAGTTAAAGAAAAGATTTGTGATAAGGGATTTAAGAGAAATGGTTAAATCTCAAATAAGTAGATGATTAACTTGTGCTATGAATAACCCAAATGGCATGCTGAGTCAAACACAGGAACACCTTCCCCCACCTGAAGGCCCAATGCAACAATTACAAATCGACTTTACACACATGCCAAAAGCTAAATGCAGGTACCAATATCTACTGGTCATAGTTGACTAGTTCAGTAAATGGCCCGAGGCCTTTCCTTGTAGGAAGGATGATGTGAAATAGGTTTGGGTTCCCTCACCAAATAAACAGTGATAAGGGAACTCTGTTTACAATTAAACTCACTCAACACATAAGCAGACTGTTCCGTGTTGATTGGAAGTTCCATATCCCCTTCTACCCACAGTCTTCAGGGCAAGTGGAAAGAACAAACAGGACTATAAAAGATAAGAAAAGGGACTAAATTAACGTTTCATAACTGGCCAGATCATCTCCCAGCAGTCTTAACAGAGATAAGGATGACCCCTAATAAGACAACAGGACTATCCCCCTTGAGATATTGATCTCGCCATATTGCATTGGAGAAGCCTGGTTGCCCGCCTGCTGCCTTTAGACTATGGCCCAATGTTGAAACACTGTTTTTTCCCCTGCAAAGTCATGAAAGCCGGGTCATTTGGTGCTCGCCCTGTTTGAGCGGTGATACCCCAGATAGCTATGCCATGGAGCCCACTCGTATAATGAAAGACTATGGGAATGACTTTGGCTCCATGGCAATTGAACTGTATGTGTGTGCTCTGAGCACCATTCAGTAATAATGTGCGCTCAGATCTGAGCTATCTGGGGATATGTTGAATGTACCTGTTTTGTGCAATGGCTGCACAGTTATATGTTTTTATGTGTTTTATTGTCTTTTGCTGCCATGTGTTCAATGGAGTTTTGCCTCTGTCCTTGGAGATAATTGGATTACTTCCCAATTATCTCCAGGATAGAAGACTCTGTGGAACTGGTTTTGGGCAGAAAAGCCATGCTTCCTTTGGTCACAAAGGACTACGATCTATCTTTTGAACCACTGGACCAATTTGGATGATTTTGACATATGTTTGTATTTGGAGTATGCTGATTCTGAAAATTTATTTTATGTGAATGTGATGCATACTTTTCAAGTTATGAATAATGTGGAAAAATTGTATTTCTCTGCTTGTGATAATTACATTACCCATTGTGTAAGGTAATTGAATCACAGGCAGAGGGGAGGATTTTGTGTGGGAGTGTCTGAGTGTTTTGTATGTGTTTATTGGTTGTGTTCCAAAACCCTGTGGGTGGTACTAATGTGTAAGAATGTGTACATAAGCACAATAAACCCACAGCTCTGTCTGTTCACTGCTTGACCCTCAACATGGAGCTTTGTCTCGTTCGTGGTGGGATTTACTGTATGCTGTTCCAGTTTGACTGCTAGGAGTGTAAACCTATTCGTATGGTTTTTCCTGTTCGGCTGTTTACAGCATTCGTATGGTTTCCTGTTCAGCGTATTGGTGTTCTGCAGTAGCTGTGCCTGTGTCTCTGGAAGGGAAGATCTACTAAATGGCGGTTTAACCCTTTTATGCCTGGGGGTGCCGTTACAGGTGGGTAGGCCATTCCTCATTCCCTGGGCTAACAAGGGGCCACAGGGGATGATAGAAGAGGTTGAGGTAGAAAGGCTTGAATATGTTGCCAATCTAATTAATAAATTGAATGGCATCTATGGTGATGTGTTTCAGTCTCTACCTCTCCCAGGTACAGAACCCACACATCCTTTTAAACCAGGAGACAAAATATTGATAAAGAAAATAAAGAGATAGAAAACCACAGAAACACCCTTCGAACCTCCATCCACCGTGATATCTGGTACCAGGATGGCTGTCCTAACAGACCAACAACCAATATGGATACACCCCGGCAGAGTAAAGTTAGCCCCTGGTCCTTTGGAAAAGTCGAGTACAGAGACAAAGATGGGGCGAAGCTAACTGCCGTTTATTTTTGGTTGTTTTACAAAACCCTGTGGGCGGTACTGTATGTGTAAAACCTGCATAAAAGAAGGCCCTTTGTGGCTGATTAAAGAGAGAACTACTTGACTAACTCACAGCCTTGACTCGTTTGTAGGACACAGCTATAATCACTACAGGGATTGCTATGCTCTGCATTCTCCCTTAGCTACTGAGCACTTGTAATAGTTCTTGTTCCTGATCCAGCTTTGCTCTACAGAAGGAAGAGGTTCACCTACTGGAACCTGAAGTCTAGTCATAGGTCCAAGGTGCATAGCAGATGGCGAGATACCGGCCCAGCAGCGGTGGTAGGTGGAGTCAGCAGTGCTTGAGGTGTCTTTGGTCGAACTTCCAGCTAACATGGAGGCAACCGTGACAGCAAGGTATATTGCACAGAGCTTTGGGGGACTCCAACTGAGACAGGACGAGGGGAGGAGGTATCATTAGGAGACACTGAAAGAGCATTGGGAGAGATGAGAGTCACAGAGTCCAAGTGATTGAAGAGTTTGAAGAAGGAGAGCATGATCAATGTTGTCAAAGGCAGCAGAGAGGTCAAGAAGAATTAGTATGGATTTAGCTGCAATTAGGTCATTAGTAACTTTGATAAGAGCAGTCTCAGTAGAGTAGACAGCTATATTGAAGAGGGCGGAAGCTAGATCGAAGAGGGTCAAGGAAAGAGTTGGACATATGGGTAAAGACAAGTCTTTCCAGAAGCTTTGAGGAAAAAGGGAGCAGGGATATGGGTTAGAGGGGTCAAGAGATGTTTTTTCAGGAGAGGTACTGCAGTGGCATGTTTAAGATCAGCAGGGACAGCACCAGAAGAGAGGGAGCAGTTAAAGCTGTGTGTTAAGGAAGGTACAAGACAAGGGGAGAGAGATCTGATAAGGAGAGATGGGACAGGATCGAGCGGGCAAGCTGTGGGATGAGAGGAAAGGAGAAACGCAGCCACCTCTCGTTCAGTAGCTGGGGAAAAAGTCTGAAGGGTAGGAAAGGCATGATCTATGTGTGGTTGAGAAAGAGAAAGGCAAGGTGGGGAGAATTCTTTCCTTAGCTGTTCAATCTTGTCGGTAAAGTAGCATGCAAAGATATCGGCTGTAAGGTTAGTTGGGGGGGTGGCCACAGCAGGGCGAAGAAGAGAGTTAAAGGTGTCAAAGAGATGTCTGGGATTGCAGGAGCATGAACTAATGAAGGGCTGCGCTGTATGAACACAATATGAATCTATAATGGAGAAAGTCTGACTGGGTGCAAGACTTCCTCCAGGAGCGTTCAGCACAACAGGAGCATCTTTGCAGGTAGCATGTTGAATAGGTATGCCACAGTTGGGGTCGTGTCCTTCTTGAGGTGCATGTTTGGAGCGGGGCTGCAGCGTTCAAGGCAGAGGTGAGGGTAGTGTTATATGTGGAGGTGGCCAGTGAGGGACAGGAGATGGAAGTAATGGATAGCAGTTGTGAATCAATATCAGCTGACAGCTGCTGGAGGTCAATAGAATTAAGGTTCCTCCTGAGTTGAAGGTGGTTAGGCTGAGGTTGTTGGATGAGAGGGTACTCGACAGCATACAATAAGAGGTGGTGATCAGAGAGAGGAAATGGAGTGTTGCAGATATTAGATACTGCACATGCATAAGAGAAAATTAGGTTGAGGGTATTGCCAGCCAGGGCCGGACTGGCCCACCGGGATACCGGGAAATTTTCTGGTGGCCCGCAGCAAGCTGGGGTTGGGTTGACAGCCCTAATGATCAGCATGAAAAAAGCCATTTAAATATTTCCCCCTCAGACTGACAGATTGGCACAGTCCGAGGGGTAAATATTTAAATTACTTAATTATGCTGATTATTAGAATAAGGAGGGAGGAGCTGGGGGCTTGTGTGGCTGCCAGGCTGGAGGGAGACCTGTCAGTCTCCCTTCACAGTGTAACTGCATTTCGGCTGCATGCCCTGCCCCCACACAGAAGCTCCGCCTCCTGAACAGAAGCCCCACCTCCCACATGTAAGCTCCGCCCCCACGCACCTTCCAGACCTTCTGGAAAGCTGCCCACTGGACCACCAGGAAATAACAGAAAACTAAAAGGTAATTACCCTTTCACAGCCCCCTACCCACCATACAGCCCCCCACCCACTCACAGCCCCCTACTCTACCCACCATACAGCTCCCTACCCATCCCACAGCCCCACCCACCATACAGCCCCCCACCCACTCACAGCCCCACCCACCATACAGCCCCCACCCACCCACCATAAAACCCCACCCACTCATCCTCACAGTCCCCCACCCCACCCACCCCACAGCCCCACCCACCCACCCATAAAACCCCCACCCACCCATCCCACAGCCCCCACCCCACCCACCCCACAGCCCCCTCCCACCCACCTCACAGCCCCCACCCATCCCCACAGCCCCCACCCATCCCACAGCCCCACCCATCCCACAGCCCCCACCCATCCCCACAGCCCCCACCCATCTCACAGCCCCCACCCACTATACAGCCCCCACCCATCTCACAGTCCCACCCTACCCACCATACAGCTCCCACCCATCTCACAGCCCCTACCTACTATACAGCCCCATACCCATCCTCACAGTCCCCTACCCATCTCACAGCCCCTACCACTCACAGCCCCTAACCACCCACCACACAGCCCCCAACCACCCACCACACAGCCCCCATACCCACTCACAGTCCCCACCTACTATACAGCTCCCCTACCCACCTCAAGCCCCCCTGCCCACCATACAGCCCCCTGTACCCACCTCACAGCCCCCCATACCCACCTCACAGCACACCGTACCCACCTCACAGCACCCCGTACCCACCATACAGTCCCCTTACCCACCTTCCAGCCCCTCTACCCACCATACAGCTTCCCTACCCACCTTATTAGAAAAAGATATCTATCTATATATATATATATATATATATATATATATATATAATCTCAATAATATGTAAGGCATAGATGATTGAGTAATAAATACACCCTAGATGATTGAGTAATAAATACACACATAAAATATATATATATATTATTTATATATTACTCAATCATCTAAGGTGGCAACACATAGCCATATGTATTACATGTGACAATACATGGCGCAGTGACTTATGGGGCTGGCATAGATTTTTTTCCAGGGCTGCTTTGTATCCCCAGTCCGGCCCTATTGCCAGCTACATGGGTGGGAGAATTAGCCCACTGTGATAGCCCGAGGGAGGAAGTAATTGAGAGTAGTGTAGAGGCTGCTGAGGTTTAACAAACTAATTTGCATATGCCCATCCCGAATCTTTTGCGATAGTAACATCAGATTTGTGATTTCTGTGGGAAAAGCAAGTCCCATGGCTTGACTGGTGTACAGATTTTTGTTTAACATTGTATTAACTATCCACAGACTTCAGGTGGAAAGGGCTTTCAATCACAATTTTTCCCCACCATAACCATTTACACCAGGAGATAGAGTGCTAGTTTTGGTTCCTACGGTTGAGAACAAATTGCTAGCAACAAGAGTTGAGTGACCGAACATTACAGTTTTTGGACCCCGGACCCAAACATGGACATTTCAGTGTATGTTCGGGTTGGAGTTCGGTGTTCGGCGATTTAATGGGTCATTTTGAAAGGCTGCAGGGCAGCCAATCAACAAACGTTTGACTTGTGTGCCCTTAGAAGCCATCACAGCCATGCCTACTAATGACTGGCCAGTGCAGCATGTGACCCAGCCTCTATATATAAGCTGGAGTCACGTAGCGCCGCATGTGACATGAGCTCTTATTAGTGTTGGGGGAGGATGCTGCATCTGTGAGGGCCAGATTAGGAAAATATTCTGGTGTTGAATCTGCAAACTACCACGATTATTTTTGTGGGTGCTATACTACATTTTTGTACCCTGCCCTGAGCCCAGTGCCACAGAGAGTGCAGTGCACCTGCAACTGTATGTGTGCCAGGCACATTCCTTTAATCCTGTTCTGGTAGCTCAGTGGGCAACATCTAGGCATTTTTTAAATACTGCAATTTTTTTGTGCTAAATAGTATATTTGCGTACTGCATTTCTTGCAGTCTAATAAAACCCTTAAATACTACTGTTACATTGTTGGTTTAAAGAAATCACACTTTTTTGTGCTAAATAGTACATTTGGGGTGTGCACTTCATATCTGGTGTATGTGTGCAACACTGGCTAGTTACCGCTTCTCAAGAAAGTCTAAAGACAAATAAATGTTGCAGGTAGTATAGAAGGCAAGACTGAGACAAATCATTCGGGTTACGTTTGCCTGTTGACATGTTAATTATCTTAGACCATTAAAATTCAATAATCATTGAAAAAACACACTGTCATACAAAAATATGTATTATAGACAAGTTAAAAACAAGACTACAAGTCATGCTATAACAAAATTAAACAAGTTTTAACATATGTATGGGCCAACCAGTGGCTGTAAAAACAAAGTTTTATTTTATTTTTTTAAATTATACAGCATCCTTTCATGTGCTTTACAGATGCCATATTGTTAATTACCAATTTTTGTTTAGCCTGCTTTTTTTTTTTTAAAGTGAAAAATAAGTGTTATTATGATCGCTCCATACACAGAAGCATTAATATACATTTCTATATTGTGTAAAGACACAATTACAAAGTTAAAAACTGTTAAGACACGAACCGCCAGGTAGATGAAGCCGCCGTTTAGTAAATAATCCCCTTCTCCAGAAATGCAGTTTAAATCCAGCCGACCGCCAAACTCCCGAACGAAGTCCACGAACACGGCAACTCCCGATCAGCAAAACAGTCGAACGCCTTCCACAGCTAAAAATAACGAAAGCGCTGTCCCAGTAATAATTCCCCCACAAACGAGACTAAGCTCCGTCTTGAGGGTCAAATAAGATCTGTTTAATGGGGGCTACCTGCCCGGTATTTATGCAGGTCTCCACAAGGTGGACACTCCCTGAGGGGACCTTGTGGAAGACTGTAAAACATATTGGACAGTAGCCAATCGCAGTGGCTTCAATATAAGCCCTCCCCATCTTACCCATAAATCCGTCTTCTCTAACCCGGAGATAATTAGGATGAAACCTAATTATCTCCCAAGGTAGAGACAATCGCCATTTTAAATTACAGTAATAAAAATACATTAAAATACATAACTGAAGAAATACCGAATGAATATAGTTCGTGTAACGCATCCCCAGACAGCCTGGATCTGAGTGCACATTTTCACCGAACAGCGCTCAGATCCGATGTATCTAGTCGAATCGCCATGTAGTCAAAGTCTTGCACCAGTCCTTCGGTATACGAATGACTCCATGGGACGGCTGTCTGGGTAAAAGTCCATACGAATGCAATAAAAACTCCCGAACGACCGACGTTCGCATGCCTTGTCGAAATAGAAGGTGGGCATCAGCTTCCAGCGGTGTTCGGTAGTTTAAGTGTCCGTTTTTAGTTCCATACAGTTTGTACCGAACACCGCTATGCGTTCGTGTGTCCCAAAATGGCCGCTGCCTCGTGGTCGACATGCGAACGACGACCACCCGTACGAATGGAATGGAGAGGTGTCTGCGGTTAACCACAACGCTCTAATTGGGGCCAAGAGGTTAACCAGCAGCACACTCCTCTCCTGGGTGGTCGTTCGTTCGGTAGTTTCAATCGGTAGTTTGCAAATTACACGAACGGGGGTATACGAACAGGGAATCCAGCGAACAAAGGGAAACAGACGAACCAGCAATACAGATGAATCTGTCACAAAAACCAAGCACCAAAACAAAGTGCCAGACAATCTACCAGTGCATGGCTAGTGTGATACAATAAGTCTACATCTTAAAAATGCAATAACCCACAGAAGATAGGCGAGAATTAGTTTTTTGCAAATGGAACTATGATTCGAATTTACTACATTGGTCACTTGTAATATTGTTTCACACCTACAATACTTGTTAAACAGATCTAAGTGATAGAAAACAGATTGATATTTTCTACACTAGAAACTACCAGATAACAAGCTGCTATATTTAAACCAGTTATCAATAGCTAAGAGGTACTTAAACAATATTATAATTCTGGGGCAATACCCAGAATATTGTAATTCTGGGTCAATACCCAAGTCAAACTGAGAGGTCAGTTTATAGGGAAAACTGTTGCCTGGATACAATTCTAACACAATTTCCAAATGTCCTTTGCAGACTTTACATGCTGGAAATACACAGGTGCCAAATGCTGTGGCTTTCTGCTGTGTGCAAGGAGGGCAGGGTTGAGAAGTGGGTGGAAGATGATGTGGAGGATGATGAGGTCCTAGACCCCGTATGGAATAAAGGTCATGCGAGTGACGTGTGCAGTTTGGAGGAAGAGGCGGTGGTCGCACAGAGGCACCAGCACAGCATAAGAGGAAGCAGGGTGCAAAAGCGGAGCGGCCGTCCCCTAGCGCTCGCCAGCATGTATTAGCTCTAGAATTACCACAGTTATCCAAGTAACAGATGGAGCGATCAAAGGAACCATAACCGATTTAATGAGCCAGTTTCACTGTAGCGGCTATGCGTGCTTTCGGCGTTCTAACCCTGCTGCTGCTCGCCTGTCTGCGCTGCAGCATAACTTCATCCTTCCCGCTCACCGTCTCATATGCGACGTGCCCACAAGGTGGAACTCCACCTAGCACATGCTGGAGAGACTGTGCGAGCAGCAGAAGGCGATAGTGGAGTTTCAGCTGCAGCACGCACGGGTCAGTCGCTCTGCACCAGACTTGCCCTCCAATAGATACTCGTTAAAGGATTTAAAGTGTACTCATTCCAATTACAGGGCCTCGAAAGAGTCCTGTATTGTTATTTTTTGTATCGGGAGTGGGTAATTTGCGCGCCTGCTGCCTTCCTTGGATGTGGTAGCTGTTTCTCATGCTCCCTCTCCGGAATCGAACCTTGATTCCCCGTTACCCGTGGTCACCATGGTAGGCGCAGAAAGTACCATAGAAAGCTGATAGGGCAGACATCCGTCGCTGTCGTCGCTGTCATGGGGATGTGCGATTGGCACGAGGTTATCTAGAGTCACCAAAGTGCCTGCGCAACGACTGCTGAGTTGCCCACATTCTAACTTGTGCTGATTACTGGGTGGCCACCCTGCTGGATCCCCGTTACAAGGACAATGTGCCGTCCTTAATTCCCTCACTGGGGCGTGATCGGAAGATCAGCTTCACTGATTGCTGTTAAACACACTAACTGAACCAATAATCAATTAAAGAAAAGTTATTTCTTCACAACAGCAGTCAGAACAGTTTACTTCACTGCTGATGCTGATGTGAGCAAAATAAATAAATAAATATGTGCACGAGTGAAATTTTTTTTTCGTATGAATGATTTCGTACTAATTATACATTTCATTAGTCCATTACGGATTTCGTCCGTAAACTATCAGTTTTTCGGATGAAATTAGTTAAAAAGGTATTTGTTTAGTCCATTAGGACGAAAATAGCATTGCGCAAACCCCCCCCCAAAAAAACAAAACAAAACAAGGACACAGCAGCGCTACCAGCTTGTAATAAATATTAATTCCAACCCCCCCACAATAAAACCTGTGAGGGTCACTATGATGCCCATATTAATAAAATGGAGGTTAAATTCTCCCACATGCCACTACTCGCGGGAGCCAGTGTCTGCTCACTGTCATGTAAAACTACTAGTGACTGGGACAAAAAAAAAAAAAAATAGGAGGAATTCTGAGTATCAAAAAAATTAAAGGAACAAATAATAATAGTATGTTATATAATAGTCGTATAAGGTGAGTGAGTGGAAAAATACCTAATTCAGTCAAAGACTGACTGAACAAAAATTGACTACAACTTAGCTTTCAATGAGTCCTAGTATAAAAAGCGGGATAAACACAGTATAAAAGTACCCACTAATAGGAGAAAACACCATAATAAATGATAGACCACAAAAGGAGATCTACTAAATGTGGAAAGAGCCTATCTAAATTCCCCTAAATAAAGGAAATATAGAATAGGAAGCGTAGGTCTACTAAATAAGGTCAAGTGATTAAACCTACCAACCTCCAAATAAATGTGATCTAAAAGAGGTGTAAATGTCTAAAGAAAACTCTAGAATACTAGAATAGACTGATAGATGCTAAAAAACACTAATGTTGAACTTCAGTTTGAAATGCAACAATGTAATGATCGGGAGTAATATAAGCTGATACAAGTAGCAAGTACTAAAGTAGCTGTGCTGAGAACAATATATAAAGAACACAACTCGCCACTCTCATGGTTAAGTTACCTACAGTTCCCTAATGTGCCTTCGAGGGCACCCCTTAAAAAAAGCTGTCCCTCAGTCTGTTATACTAAATCCTACTACCCAGCCAACCAATCTCCTACATACAGTAAGTAATCTAAATAGGAGTGTGGGGAACACAACCACAAAGTATAAGGTGGCTAAACAAGCAGATGAGTAGCGCAGGTGGATTGCAGCGTCTACATTTGTATATAGGTTTTCTCAGTTTCGGCTCCTGCAGGCACAGTCAGACAGCCAGATACTGCTAGCTCAAATGGACAACTAGTCCAGTGGATAACTGGTAAATCACTGGTAACCTATAATTCAATTAGCTAATACTTGATTTAAAATATGTATACTGAAAAATCTAACAGACTCCTCAAAATTGCTATATAAGGACTATAGTAATCCTAATCTGATTAGTGAAAGCAGAGGTCATCCTTAGTTAAAAATCAACTTTGCACACACACATGCATCCAGTATTAATTGCTAAGATGCACAATTACTAATTCGCACATCTCAATAGAATATACCTAGTGTAGCATAGTGCCCCAAAAAACCTCAACCATAAAAATAAAAGAAAAAAGGTAACAGAACAGATAAAGGAAAACAGCCCTTTATAGCTGCAAGTATTTACACTGACATTTTTTCTTATATTCATAGTTTTCAGTTCTTCCCAAACGTGTTAGATGGGGTTAAGGTTAGGGCTCTGTGCAGGCCAGACAGGTTCTTCAACACCAAGCTCATCATTCCAAAAGAAGGCTAGTCTGAAGCACTTCAAATTTTGCAACAAACTAGGAAAAAATTCCTTCTTGACCCCCAAAATAGCAGTCAGATGTCTCCTTGGATCAAGCAGCTATTACCCCACTAGTTAGAAATTAGATCCCTGTATGTTATGTTTTTGCAAGTATTTATCCAATTTCAGTTCAAACATCTGTATGGACTGACAAAACCACCTCTACAGGCAAAGAATTCCATATCCTTATTGCTCTTACTGTAAAAAAACCTTTTCTTTGCCTTAGATGAAATCTCCTTTCTTCCAGCCTAAATGTGTGACCTTGTGTCCTATGTATAGCCCTGTTTATGAATAGGTTTCCAGATAAAGGTTTGTACTGGCCCCGAATATATTTGTATAATGTTATCATATCCCCTCTCAGGCACTGTTTTTCCAAACTAAAGAGATTAAAAAATGTTAACCTTTCTTTGTAACTAAAATGCTCCATTCCTTTTATCAATTTTGTAGCTCGTCTCTGCATTTTTTCTAGTGCCATTATATCTTTCTTTAGAACAGGTGCCCAAAATTGCACAGCATATTCAAGATGTGGTCTTATCAGCGATTTATAAAGAGGCAAAATTATATTTTCATCCAGAGAATGTATGCCCATATTTATACATGACAAAATCTTACTGGCCTTAGCAACTCCAGATTGACATTGCATATTGCCAGGGCCGTCACCAGAAATTTTGGGGCCTCTGACAAAGCACAAGGTCTGGGACCCTCCCCGCCCCCGGCCAATTCCACCACTCCCCCCCCACCTGCCCGGCCCACCCACGAGTCCGCCCACGGGACTCCTACCTAGTCCGCTGCAAATGATGCAGGACTGAATGTGGTGTGTATAGTGGAAGTGAATTAGAATGTGTGTAATTGATGTAGTGTTTGTGTGTATTAGATACTGTTTGTGCAGTGAATGCAGAGTGTGTATTTGTGTAGTGCATGCAGTGTGTATAGTGAATGCAGAGTGTGTTTGAGTAGTGGATGTAGTGTTTGTGTGTACTAGATGCAATGTGTTTAGTGGATGCAGTGTCTATAGTGGATGTAGTGTGTGTATTAGACACATTGTCTCTGTATAGTGAATGCAGAGTGTTTGAATGTGTGGTGGATGTAGTGTGTGTACTGTGAATACAGGATGTTTGTGTAGTGGATGCTGTGTGTATAGTTAATGCAGAGTGTGTGTCAGTGAAATGAATGCAGAGTGTGTGTCAGTGTAGTGGATGCAGAGTGTGTGTCAGTGTAATGAATGCAGAGTGTGTGTCAGTGTAATGAATGCAGAGTGTGTGTCATTGTAATGAATGCAGAGTGTGTGTCAGTGTAGTGAATGCAGAGTGTGTGTCAGTGTAGTGGATGCAGAGTGTGTGTTAGTGTAATGAATGCAGAGTGTGTGTCAGTGTAGTGAATGCAGAGTGTGTGTGTAAGTGTAATGAATGCAGTGTGTGTAAGTGTAATGAATGCAGAGTGTGTGTTAGTGTAGTGAATGCAGAGTGTGTGTTAATGTAATGAATGCAGAGTGTGTGTCAATGTAATGAATGCAGAGTGTGTGTCAGTGTAGTGAATGCAGAGTGTGTGTTAGTGTAGTGAATGCAGAGTATGTGTTCATGTAGTGAATGCAGAGTGTGTGTGTAAGTGTAATGAATGCAGAGTGTGTGTTAGTGTAGTGAATGCAGAGTGTGTGTTAATGTAATGAATGCAGAGTGTGTGTCAATGTAATGAATGAAGAGTGTGTGTCAGTGTAGTGAATGCAGTGTGTGTGTGTTTATTAATAATGTAAATGTAATACATGTTTCTCCCCCCTCCCTGCTTATTACCTGGGTCAGGGAGGGGGGAGATTCCATCCCTGTAGTCCGGTGGCATTGTAGGGCCCCCCGGCTCCCTATACTTGCAGAGGGGGCCCAGTAGACTGCAGGAGCACATTACCGCTCTACCCTCTCTCTAACTACCCGCAAGCGTGGTCTGCGTGCCACGCAAAGCATTGCCATCTCGCAGGAGTTAGAGAGAGGGAAGAGCTTGTAAGTACGCTTGCAGTCTGCTGGGCCCCCTCTGCAAGTAGAGGGAGCCGAGGGAACCGCGGCTGCACATATATATAGCGATGATCGCTATATATATGTGCAGAGAGGGAATGTGGGGCCCAGGACTGCCAAAGCAGTCGGGGCCCCCAGGACCGCGGGGCTGTGACAACCCAAACGTGTTAGATGGGGTGATTATCAGAGCCTGATGGCGGCCCTGCATACTGCTGCCTAATTTGTTGTCTATAACAATCCCCAAATCCTTCTCGTGTGTGGTTATCCCTAGTTCACTACCATTTAGGGTGTAAATTGCTTGTGCATTCTTAACCCCGAAGTGAATTTCTCTATGTTAAATTTCATCTGCCATTTTAGTGCCCAGTCCCCCAATCTATCCAACTCCCTCTGCAGCAAAGCAATATCCTGCTTACATTTTATTACTTTACAAAGTTTTGTGTCATCTGCAAACACTGATACATGGCTTTCAATACCTATTTCAAGATCATTTATAAATATGTTAAATAAAAGCGGTCCCAAAACAGAACCCTGAGGGACACCACTTACCACTTTTGTCCAGCCTGAAAATTTACCATTAATGACAACTCGTTGTACTCTATCCTTAAGACAGTGTTCTACCCAAGAACAAGAATAATCATCTAGACCAATGTCTTTTAGTTTGAAGACTAACCTATTCTAAGGAACCGTATCAAATGCCTTGGCAAAATCCAAGTAGATCACATCCATTGCAACACCCTGACCTATACTTCTATTTACTTCTTCGTAGAATGCAATTAGATTAGTTTGACATGACCTATGTTTCATAAAACTATGCTGATTATTGTTTATAACAAAGTTCTTCCCAATGAATTCCTGAATATTATCCCTTAATAGTCCTTCAAATATTTTCCCAGTCAAAGAAGTTAAGCTCACAAGTCTATAATTTCCAAGCAACAATTTTGAACCCTTTTTAAATATAGGAACAATATCTGCCTTCCTCCAATCCTCCGGTAAATTCACCTAAAACAAAAGAATCTTGAAAAATTAAATACACAGGTTCACTTATTTCCCCACTTAGCTCCTTAAGTACTCGTGGGTGAATACCGTCAGACCCCGCAACTTTTTTTACATTTATTTTCTTTAACTGCTGTAGCACCTTGTCTCAAGTCATCCGATCAAAAGTTATC